TATATATATTTGTGTATAATTTTTTGTAGATATGGCAGAGAAGGACATTTATCTTATTACAGATTAGATCATTTGATACCTCCTGAAGTAACTTTAACAAGAAACGATATAAATTTTTTATCACGAGCTATGGACATATCGCACAAGGGTATGAGAAGAATTATTGGACAGATGGCGAAATTTCTTGGAGTCACGAAAATAATTTGTCCAGACTTTTTATCACTTATTAATCGATATTGCATTGAATTAGCTCTACCAAGTATGAACATCATCAATAGTAGTGAATTTAAAGATCTTTAATATACATAGGCGCACATATGCAATTATAATATTTGTAGAAGGTATATCATTGTATGCGAGAAGATTATCGATTTTGTCTCCTCCAAAAATGAAGTTTGATAAAAAATCCTACATACCCAATTATGAGGGTCGTGCTATGGCATTTATTATCGTGGTACTAAAAACATTGCTGAGTTTGGATGGTATTACAGAAAATGAAATTAGCAATGTTGCTGACAAAATTAATAGGTATGTATTCAAATTGTTTTATAATAACGTAAAAAGCTTGAAAAATATAGATAATATTAATATTATGTGTATTAGTGTTAATTTACATAGTGTTAATTTACATTAATTTACATAGCTGCGCTTCGATATTCACTATCAGTATTGAAAATTTATAATATACGTGATATAATATACATACATGTACTATATATTTTCAATACTGACAGTGAATATCGGAACGCAGCCATAGTGTTGTGAGATAGTTGAATGTCACGTAGCAACACGCACACGTGCATCGTATGCAGACATATACATGCGAGTACGTGCGTTGCCGAGATATAAATATATTTATGAAAATTTTGCGTGCATATGCGTCTGCGTATGTGTGCTCATGCAGCACACGTATGTACATACAAGTGCGCAGTTAATTATATTTATTTGTCACATATACAACAAATTTATAAAAGTTGCATATAGATTTGATGCGAAAAATCTTGTGTAATTATCCACTGATTTAACGGTTATTGGATTATTTTGACAATTAATATTTGATATAATGCAGATATAATGCAATGTCAGTGCAAAAGCTATGATACTCCATGTATTCTCGTACACGGTGATGTCGGAAATATCTGTGATGCGCATATTATTGAAAAAATGACGAGTTGTAAAAACGCGGCCTCCACTGGATATGCAAGTTTATTAAGTGGCGCAAGTTCCGTACAAGCAGTTGAAATTGCATTATGGTGGTTGGAATGCGATGAATTTTTTAATTGTGGCTACGGCTCAGTTTTAAATGATATAGGTATAAAAATACGATTTATATCAATATCAATAAGCGTAAGAAGGAAAAATTATGTACAATTTCCCATACCGAAAAATAGGAGATGTACAAATGGATGCGTGTATAATAGACGGTTTGAAATTGGAATGTGGATCTGTAGCCGCGATATCAGATGTAGAACATCCGATATCTCTCGCCAGATATGTCTTGGATAATTTTCCTAATTCTATCATAGTAGGAGAAGGTGCAAGAAAATTGATAGATTATGCAAAATTAAATCAGTTGTCTCAAGGAAACATGATAGCGCCTATGGCATATTTAGCTTACGATAAATTAAAAGAAATAGACAGTTCTGATATTAATTTGGATGTTGAACAGCCGCTAGGAACATTAAAAAGTAAATTGTAGATACAACATTTAAGAAAATTTCAAACATTCCCTCGTTTCACATTCTTTCTATAATTTTGTTAATTTTGTATAATTTTTCTCTAAAGAAAAATATTGTCGATAATGTATGTACATGATTGTGGATACAATTTTTGATATTCTATATAGATGGTGGGAATACTGTTGGCTGTATAGCTTATGATGGTTATGCTATAGCATCAGGTGTTACAAGTGGTGGTTTAAACAAAAAATTAATGGGCAGTGTAGGCGACTCTTCTATGTTTGGTTACAGCACGTATGCTGATCGAGATATAGGATGTTCTTTAACAGGTCATGGAGAATCTATAATGAAACTTGGTTTATCAAGAACCATTGCAATCAATATCGAAGAAGGATGCTCTCCGCAAAAAGCGTTAAGGAAAAATCTCGATTATATGTCAACTAGATATAATCATACTTTTGGTGGGATTGTATTTAAGAGATCCGGAGAATGGGACGTGTATTTCACCTCGTATAAAATGCCGTATGCTGTAATTATGAATGATTGCGTGACTTTTGGTATAACTTTAGATGAAAGAAACGTGGAAAAGTACACCGAGTATCGAAAAGGATCGGAAAGGATATCGTGCAATTGCAGTTATCCTTTTGTAAATAGTTGTATTTTACAACGAAATATAATACAAACTTTGAGTTTCGATCGTGCACTATTGTTCTTATTTCATTCTCGTTTCTCTTTATTATCATGAATATTAACGTGTGGGTTTTCTTTTTTCAGTGCAATTAATGACGAGGGTATTTGTGATGCAAAACTATTCAGTTTTCGTGAATGGCAGAAATATATCGAGTGTAGAAGAGCTGTTTTAATTAACGTACATTGTCCCACCAAGTTGAAATATAATGCAAACATACCAGATGTTAATAGCTTATATATTAAATTTTTGGAGTTTATTAGTACTAAAACAGATAGAGAAGAGCCTGAGAAAATTACGCATAAGCATGTAATACCACATGAGCTCGTTTATGCAATGAAACAGTGTATTACTAATGTAAGTTGTATCAATTTACCATTAAATGAGGTTAACGAATTTTCTCCAACATTAACGCCATATCATTCGTATCTTCAACAATTGTTGGAACATCCATTGTATGATAGTCCAAGGATGCTCCGAAATGACTTTTCATCCGTGAAAAGTGGATACTTGACAAGACCAGAATCGTAAGTAATACCGAGAGAATCTTACGCGAATGTAGCTTATCAATTATAAGATGTATAATTATAGATGAATAATTGCCTTTTCTTTCGATTCTTTTTAGTACTTGCAAGTTAACTTCGCAGTACGATATGCAATTAGAGTTGGTTGATTCAAATTTGCACTTTATCGAGAAAATTGTATCACTTTTTGAGCAAGCCAAAATGGTCAGTGTAAAAGATTTAAAAGATGATGTTGTGATACAAGATTTTATGGAAGAGGATATGGAAGAGGAATGTGATAACAGAAAAGAAGATTTTACAGATTATTTACATAAAAAGATACCCTGTCAACTTAAAATTGATATGAAAAAGAAACAAAACTGCAACCATATTCATAATACTATCACAGATATGCAAACACCATCAGTATCTGCATCAGCTAATGAATTTGCATTCGATCAAATTCTTCCGGATGGTAAATTATCAATCCCAGACAGATGTCTGAATGATGATAATGATGGCGATGATGACGATGATAATGCATGTTTAAAAGATATTGTTTCTGAACAAACTAGATTGTTATTATCTAAATTTTGTAAAGTATACAATATAGATCTTTCAAGGACAGAAAAAAGGAAAATATTTAAAAATTTTAACTGGTCGAAGAAACGAAAGCGCAAGCTTCTTCGAAATGCACATGGTAAATTTATTAAGAGAAGTGACATCTATTCCAGTATTGAAAGTCCAAATGAAGATGACTATGAGGAGAGTTACGCGGAAGAAACTGAAGAATCTATCGGGATTCTAGCGAACACTTTCGAAATTGAAAATATACCAGAGATATCCAGAGACATCTTAAATTCGAGTGAGGTCAATGCATCTATCTTCGATACTGTTGTCGAAATTGAAAGTGAATGTGGCATGAATGACAAATCCGATAAATTCTGTAAAATATTCGAATCGATGATCGATAAATCTTTTACTACGGATAGAACATTGGATGACAATATTCTTAAATTGTTTAGACCTTTTAAAGATTATTGGATGTATCACTGCAATTTTAGCCGTGTAAAGCCAAAGAATTTTGAATTACTCGAGAAAATGTTGCCGAGGAGTTTTCGATGGCTATTAAATGAATGCGCGAACATAATTGAAATGTCAACAGAAGACTTATACGAAGAAGTATGCCTTGTCGAAGCTTACTACGCATATGCCTTGGAACAATCCAAGATTCATGCGATAAACGTAACAAATAAAACTGAAAATTGTAATAGACAAGCGCATATCAATATAATTTTAAGTAAATGGTAAAGCAATGAAGAGTCATCACGGTATCATCAATTATTCAACTAGGAACATGTTGCTAATTTTTCACAAATTTTAATATATATTTAATATTAAATTAATATTAGTAGTAAAATTTATTAAATAAAAAAATTTCTCCTGAATTTATTCCTACTTGATTTATTTAAAACATGAATAAATGCTATTAGACATTTTGATATGTATATTTCTTTAATTAAAGAAATTTTTCAATTTTCACATCAAACACAATACATTCTAAATCCTAATTTTAATGTTTAAATTTAATGTATAAATTTAACAATGACGATTTACTTATATGACAAAAATAAATTTTTTCTTGTACATCTAAAAAGTTGTTTATAAATCATCAAATATATAAAATAGAATAGCACTTTTAGAATAGAAATAGAATAGCACTAACTTAAATTTAGAGTAAGATTGGATAAGATAGGTATCTCGTACATGTATGTGGTACCTATTTTTAATCTGAATAAAAATTGAATCTCTTGAACTTGTAATAAAATTGTGAAAATACTACGTACTTCGTAATCTCTTTTACGCATTATCTTGCTTGATGCGCGTTATGAAAAAAGTAGAGTGGCACAAATATAATCGTTATAGACATTTGAGGATCTCTCCTCGAGTTTTGCTTAGGCTGGCCAGCCGTGTCGCGACGACGTACCATTTCATTTGGTCGTCAATTCATGAGGACAATGTGATGCGGTGCGGTGCGGTGCGGTG